TCTCTCTCTCTCTCTCTCTCTTTCTCTCGACTTCCTAGTCTCCTTTTCCTGTTGGTTGAATTTAGAAAGAAATAAAACAGAAAGGGACGAGCAGGGATGAGGTTGGGGGGGTGGGTGATGGGCAAAGTAAAAATACATATTATTATATTATTTGTTGTAATTTTCGCTCTTCCTCTTGTACATGTTGTGGGTGGTTGGCGGGCGCCACTGGTAGGTCCTACTTCTTTACTTTCCCCTCTGATGTTTCTGTCTGTCTGTCTTACTTTTTCCCAGCACTAAATGGCCATTATTGTGTCGATGTGCAGCTCTTTACTCGAACAAACAAATCTTGAACATGTCTGATCAGCCACATAATATAGCATGGAATTTTCAGAAACCCTGTCGATACTTGGACTTTTATTGCTCTTGTCTGTTAGTATGTCCATCTGTGTTTGTGTTTATTCAGTCCATTACTTCAGAAAATATTTCGCCCGTGTTTGTGAGCAAGTGTATTGTTATAACGATTTTTCCCACACCCACAGCGTGTTTATCGCTTCATGCTCACGAGCTGTGAGCCTCAGGTAATGGTGTTCAGATAACTGATAAGGTCTCTTTCAGACTTTGAAGCAAAACCTTTAAGCCTCGCACAAGGAGAAACAATGAAGATTTGTAGTTGTGGTTATTAATAGTAGACCACCGTCACCTCAATGTTGTTGGGGTTTTGGTGGGGTTTGGGTTGTTGTTGTTTTGGGGGTTTTTTTGGAAGGGGTTTTTTGGTTTTTTTATTCCGGAAAGGAGAGCCGGAGAAAAATGTGATAACTATGTATTGGTTTGGGAAATAACTTTGATGAAAACTGCAAAATAAAATGGCGGGCATCTTTGGTGTGATGCTAGGCCCTAAGCCGTTGTATGCAAGAGATATGAGCTCGAGACTTGCGTGAAAAAGTCCATATTTTATTGCGTATCTCCTCCTTTCTGCAAGGCTTTTGTATCCACTCAGTCTTGATTGGTGCTTTCCCATACTTAGATTTTCAACATGGAAAGTTATTCCTGTACCTTTTTGTAAGAAGATACTGATGTTCTTATATGTAACGTAATTTTGAGGAGATTTTTTTTTTTTGGCTTGGATGAGGTTTTTAAGGTTTGTTTCACACTCTGAAGTGAGCTTAGAGCATTTTTGCACCTGTGTGATTTGCTCACAGGAATCAACAATTAGAATCGTGTTTGATGACACACACTGTCGTGCTAATACGTGAGTGTGTGTATGACTTCATTAACTTTATTTCTACTCGAGTATTCTCAACAGTCAGGACATTCGTCATCATAAACATATTCTTGTATATACGTCCACGCGTATACACACACTTACACATGCGCGCGCTCATACATGCACACCTACTCACACAAGTGCACACACAGACACTCACGCACACCCACACACGCACACACACACACACACACACA